CTCGTGCACGCTCTGTTTGAAAGCTGCTGTTTTCATAGCTCATAGAAGCTAACTGTGCCCAAAGCTCGCCCTAATCCTTAAATCCCTCAATCACTATATAGAGCGGCGACTATATAGTGGACTTCATAGTGAACTCAGTTAACTTACTGTTCGGACAGATAGGATGACCAGATGTCCTCTTTTTCATGGACATGTCCTGCTTTTCATACCTAAAGAAATATTACTTAAAATGTTTAAAATGCTGCTGGGCCACAGACTGGACTGGACCCGGAGCGACTGAAACCGACCCCGGTGACGGTAGCCTGGACAATGGCAGCCCCCGTGCTTCCCCCCGTCTTACTGTGCAGGCGGGGGGTAGTATATCGTCACTGGGTCGGGTTCGGTCAGTCCAGTTCAGTCTGCAGCCCAACCTCCTTTTCAGAAACCCAAAACTAGTCAGACTACTAGACTAATAGACAACTAGACTACTGCTTTTTGCTACCCGTTGGTCATGTAACTCCTTATACACCACAGGGTGCCTGTGCCATATTTATTATTGGTTGCAGCTGTCGGGTAGCGGCAGCCTATGGCGACAGCGGGCCTCTGTGACAGCAAATCCCATAATGCTAATCTGTCTCTTCTGAGGCCTTTCTTTTCTTTTCATACACTTCGTAGGCACTTTTCTCTTGCGACCATCGGCCATTTTCAAAGAACCGTGGTGAGAAAGGTGAGCTTCAATTACTGGCCGAAATCGTAGCTCACCACAGATATACGCCTGAAAGAGCGCACGGGCAGAAAAATATAGCTAACAGGGCGAGCACGTAGGACCGCCTTAAGTAAACATATCACCAGAATGACTGACAATTAGGACCACTTATTGAGATGATCCACCTGGAAATAAGCGATCGTTCTCTATACATTTAATCAGTACAACCATTGAAATCAAAAGGACCCTTTTACCCTGAGTCCAGCTAGGTAATAGTCCTTGAGAGCCGCAAATATTACATGAACTTGCAATAAAGCACAAAGTATTATTTTTGTAAAATATCTGCAGTATGAGACATGTTGCCATTTAAATCAATAACAGTTTATTTGTATCTTAAGGGGAGAACAGAAAACATTTCATAAAGATAATTTAAAATCTGTTATTTGCGTCATTGTTCTTTTTGTGAACCAGGTGTGGCAATCTAACCAATGAGAAATGGTTACATCTGAGGAGCAACTGTTATTGGTTTAACTGGTTTTCAGTACACTCAGGGACGGGTCACGGAAAGGGTAAACAAGGTGAAGCAACAAAAAAAAAAATGCAGCTCAGAGATCTCTAAGTGGCATTTAGACAAATTTAGAATTAGCAAAAGTGATTTGAAATATAAAATGTAAATAGATTATGGAATTACATTTTTAAATGAGTTATGAGGAAAGGTATTTATGTTTGATAAATGAATGGTGTTTTTTAAATCTCCATTTACAAAAGAAAATGGAATTTTAAAATGCATTTTCAAATTGCAGTGTTTAATTGAATGAATAATCCCAATTCTTCTTTAATAACTTAATTTAAAATATACAATTCTCAACTTTGATTTCTAATAGTATAAATTAAGAGTGAAAATGTTGTTTTTCTATTTCAGTGACTCTCTTGCTCCTCCATAGTTGCTGACTCCTGGTCTGCA